TTTGCTGCTGTTTGTTTTTTTGTAAAAGATTATGTTTATATTACATTCGTCACAATTTTTAATGACAGCCGATCAAGTAATTAAATATATATTAAATTATATGTATTTTTATACACTTTCGATCAGTAATTATTATTTACAGTTTTCGGTAAATTTCTATAAATTACGGAAATTCAGCAGTTTTGATAGCTGAAATTTTGTAAAACAATAGTTTTTACAAAGCTTTCGGTAAAAATAATATTTTACAGAACGAATTCAGCAAAAAAGTACCGAACAAGATTTAAGAAATTTGGTGTATAGGAAAAATATCCTGCACAAAATAACCAAGCATATTCCTTCTATTGTCACTCAGATGGCTCTAGTGTGCTCACTTTTCATAAATGTAACAGTATGTTAACCGTCAAATATATAGTGTTTGAACGGGTTTTAAAATGTTTCAACAAGTGTGAATCTTTATGAAAAAAGTGACCGAAAAAATTGCTACGCTGGAATTTGTGAGGACGGTTAAGTAGCCGCCAATTTTGGATTTATCATGCAACAGGTAATATTTTAGACACCTATAAATGACAAAGCACAACACAGTTACCACTTCCAGACTTTATTGTGAAAAAAAAAATTATAAAGAATTTCTTTTGACGTAGGACTACGTCTGTGATTTCTATATGGGGGTACACTTTGTGAAAACCGAAAATGGAACATGTAACAAATTATGAAAGATTTTGAACGTTAATACCTCAACCGGCCCTGATCAAATTTCAATAATTTTATCACTTATTGATCAGAAATATGGCGACGCATCGATAAAAATGCTTCCGAATGTTGATTTTCAACAAGAAACTATTGAAAAACTGGTATCCAGCATTGTCCAAAAGCGTCGAATTAACTAACAAATTCACCAATTACCTACTTGCATATGCTGCTTTCCCAGCACAGTCGTCAGAGAGAAGTAAGTAGACGAAACAAGTCGAAGGGGCATTCGCCTCCGATCCTCGGGCGCGTGCGAATAGGGAGCAGTGTTGGGAAAATATCAAAAATCAAATCTCACCAACGCCCAAGATCACGCTTGATTTTCGTAGACAAAAATCAAATCTGATTTTGCCAACACTGATAGGGAGAATGGAATTGCGTAATATTTTCCACACTCATCGCCATATTCAGAACCACACGCTCCCAACGACCACACAAAATGCTCTCCAGAGTTGTAATCTTGTAACGAAACTTGGAAACACTCAAAAAATATATCACATATGTAATGCATGAAATCCGTGTGAATTTCACATAGCTTTCCAAAAAAAGTTGACGACAACCTAAAGAAATCGTTAAGCTGCAATATTCTAATATTGACCTTACATAAGCAATGTACAATGTTTTTATCGTATACGGATCGTGAAAGTTATAGCAGAAACGTTTTATGGAACCAAGCATGTTGTTAGTTTAATGTCGTTTTACTTGGTTGTTGGTGATAATGATGCGTAGACGACATCCATGGCCGAGGGTCAAAGCTTTACCGAACGTTAAGCCGAAGTCGGTAAAAGTTTGTAAAAGTGTTCAGTAAAAAATATACCGAACGTTTTTGTAAACTTTACCGATCATTCAACAAAATTAACAGTTCTGGTCAGTACATTTTGACAGCTCACAAGGGAACAGAATATACCGAAATTTATTTAAAAAAAAATACCGAATGTTCAGCTGTTCCACAGCAAAAAAACATGTAATATCGAACAACGTAATTCAAGCTGATGTATGAAATAATAATGTAACATCCAAAAGCATATAGGGGTGATGCATATATTATGTCACGCTCTAATGGAGGAGGGGGGTCTAAGATTTTGTGACAAGCAATGCAATAGGTATACGAGAAACGCGACGATAGGGGAGGGGGGCTAATCTTTTCTTCGACTTAGCGTGACATAATTATTGCATAAGCCCATACAATATTACATCAATGGATGTAATTTTGTTTGCAAAATCGATGTACATCGTACAAAGTAATATTACACAACCAGCTGTTTTGGATGTAATATTCAACAACTTTTTCAACACAACATTAGTGTCTTGAAATGATTACCGATTTCGGTAATTTTACCGATCTTTTACAGCTGAGCTAATAGGTGAAAATCATTAATTTATTAGTTTTAAAGCTTCAACACAGGAAAATTTTTCCAAGTCTTACCGTGTAAGAATTTATGGATACAGAATTTGAAATGAGGGTCAAAATTTTACCGAGCTTTATAAGCTGAAATCGGTAATAATTTGTAAAAGTGTATGCATTTGACGTGACGGCTTTCATCACCTTTGCATTATGGTGACCGCTAGTAATCCTACATATATGTACACGGAAAGGAATTGTGCAGTAGAAACTACTATATTGGAGGTCTAAAATAAACGCAACGCACCTACTTTTTTTTTTGTAGACTATATTATGTTTTGACAAGAAGCACAAATGTTATCAAAGTTACTATGAAGTAAAAATTCACATAGCATAGTATTATCTACCATACATGCTTTCATTTTTCCTATGGGTTTGCGCATTCGCCCTTTTATTTATTTTTTTTACTATAGAATTGTCGTTTTTACCAGCTCTGTGAAGATTGAATGTTTCCACTAAACTCAACATTTTATCTGAATAACACACGTTCTTAGCTTGATTTACCATTCCTGTAAATTATTTCCTTACAATTTGGACCCCACCCGAGCCTCACCCAGATAAATCAAAACGGATACTAGCACTGCAAATGGTCAGCATAAACCGGGTACTCGAGACTCTTAGCATGCTACCTAAAACCAAACATCGTAGCACATATCTACCTGTTGGAGACTAAAGTTAGGTACCGTAAAACGGGGTATCTTTGATAATGCGGGTAACTTTGATAGTAGAATATAATGATTAAATTAGCACTCTACAATATTTCCAAATTGGAAACATTAGTTCCATTTTGTAGCTAAGGGTATTACCTTTGATATCGTATAGAGTTTTTTATAGTATGTTTTATATATTTTCCAAATACCCGCAACACAAATTTTTATTGTATTTTGCCTGTTTGAAAAGACACTCAAACAATCATTTATTAAATGTATTACCTATAAAGTCATCACAAATTTCGTATTGTTGTTGAATGCTTATAATGTTTCTGATTATATTTTTTCCTTGTTTTTTTTTCCGTCGATCTTGTTTTCCGTGCTGAGCACCAATGCACAGTGGTGCCAAGGGTATCAAAACACGCGTTTTTTTTATTTACGCTGAAATGGTTGATTAAAGGTACTAGGTTTTTTTCTGAGAAGTTTCTCTGGTTACAACACTTCTTCTTATGGTAAAAGAAAATTAAAGATCAATCCACCTAATGTGATGAGATACAAAATAATTGTGTTCGGCAAAGCTGTAGAGAACATTTCTGTGAACAACTTTGCTGAAGATTATTACTTTCTAGCTCTTATAACTGCTGAGATATAAAGCTTTTTTTTTTGTGGAGACATCGTTAAAATCAGTTTTGTATCTGTAAAGTTTTCTATAATATTTCTACATATTTGGCATGTTCTACAAAGATGTTAGAAATAGCAAATTACATATCTTTTCAGAAGACTGCAAATTGCAATCATTAATATTTGAAAAGTTACTTACATTTTTTGTTTGAAAATTACCCAACTTCCAATACCAATAAATTCTAAATGGGTAAAAACGAGCAGGCCATCCTTTGAGCAATTGAAAGTACAAGAAAATGCAATGAAATGGTGAAGAAACCAGACCGCCCCCACGTGACCCTTAACCGAAATACTTGCATTGAAACATAACAAACATGTCACTTTTCAGAATTTGAAATGGCGATTTTGTTAAACCACGGGACTGTTATCGAGTATTTTTTCCCCGACTTAGCGTGACATAATTACTGCATACAATATAACATCAATTGATGTAATTTTGTTCGCAAAATCGATGTACCGATGACCTCTGTGCAGTTGCTTGAATGTAAAATTCAACAACTTTTTTTTTCTGTGTATTCGGTAAAAAAAAATCTTTGTGTGTTGATCTTTCAACAGCTGAACTAATCGGTAAAAATCATTAATTTATTAGTTTTAAAGCTTCAAAACAAGGAAAACTTCACCGCAATGGAACTAGATTATGTAAACAATTCTCACAGTGTTTTTAAAATAAGAATTTATGGAAACATAATTTAAAATGAGGGTCAAAGTTTTACCGAACTAGCTACCGAAGCTGTTGAAAGTTCCGTACAAAATTTCCGAAGTTGGTAATAGTTTGTAAAAGTGTATGCATACACAGAAATAAAAAACTACCCAAAACTTAGGTTAAAAGAACCCAAAAATAAGTATATCCGTTAAAGTAACCCGTTGGGTAAAAACCAAATAACGCGTTGATTCATTTTTACCCAACGGATAAGTAATGTGTAGATTACCTAAATTTAGGTAGAAAAAAAATTGGACAATTTGTGTCATTGTGCGGGAGTAATAAATGTTATAAATTGTATCATGATTTCAATTAAATGTTTGATTATCACGATATATTTTTATAATTTGACTTATTATTAGCATCATTTAACATAATTTTTTGAGACAAATTCTCCATTAAATTTGGTTTATAAATCATAACCGCAAAAATTACTTCAATTTACCCAACGCTAAGTAATTTTGTCGATTTGGTTTCAGTGACGCCATTTCTAATTTACGTTCGGTATAAAAGTCATTGTCCGCGTTGTTCTGTTGTGAATTTTTTCGCAACCTTTTTCATAGCTCGATTTATATAATTGTTTTGGTATTTTTGGTTTCAATGTTCCTAGCTTCATTTGCTAGTGCGACGCGAGTGTCACTGATATCAACAGATATCTTAATCTGGAACAATCTTCGAATGAATTCTAAATATTGAAGCTTCCGGCCTAGTTGCTAACGCTGTCTGGTAAGACCAAGGGTAAGACGACTTTTTCGCTATTGTACCTATCTAATTCCTTTTTTATATATTTTCGATTATGCAACACTTCTAGCATGAGGACCTAACATACCGACTAACGAGTCACTGCGATTGAAGGACGTTGTTTTCGATCCGGATGTTCCAGCATTATTGCGGGTTTTTAAGGGACGAGCTTCTCACGGCTATCATGGATTAGTTTGGTTTGTTTTTTTTTCGGAGTTTTCAGAACATTCATCACACTGTGTGGTAAGACTTGAATTTAAATTATCTGATTTCTTAGTAAAGGTTTTTTTTATTTTCAGTTATTTTAATCATCGCGTTTTCATAGCTCGATTTACATCATTGTTTTGGTTTTTTAGGTTTGATACGGCATTTCTAGCATAGTGCGACGTGAGTGTCACTGACATCAACAGATATCTCGATCTAGAACAATCTTCGCATGGGTTCTGAATACTGAAGCTTCCGGCCAAGTTACTAACGCTGTCTGGTAAGACAACTTTTTCGCTATCTGATTCCTTATTTTTTTAAATTTTCGATTATGCAACACTTCTAGCATGAGGACCGACTAACGAGTCACTGCGATTGAAGGACGTTGTTCTCGATCCGGATGTTCCAGCATTATTGCGGGTTTTTTAGGGACGAGCAACATGGCAGTTGAATAATTGTAATAAGATTGTAATAAGAAATATAAGTGATGTAATATTGTTTTTGAATCCAACGATTGTTACTTTTTGAATAAAACTATAAAAAATCGTTTCCTGGCACGCTTTTATTACTATTTACATCCATCCACGCACTGCGCTATCTTCCATGGAGTGACCCGCTGAATTTACCACCGTATGCTGACCGCTGTCGTTTACTGGGTTTGGATACTCTTGCTAAGCGACGAAACATATCGCAGGTCGTCTTCGTTGCTAAAGTTTTACTCGCAGAATATGATGTTCCTGAGTTACTGGCCAAAATTAATCTGTATGCTCCTGCCCGAACACTCCGTCCGAGAACCTTGCTACATGAAGTAGTACATGCAACCAACTATTCTGCAAACAGTTCCTTTGTCGCCATGATTCATCAATTCAACCTATTTGACTTTGACATCAATGCCTCGATGTTTCGTCATCGTTTGCTGTTGATCAATTTTTAATTTTTAATGAGTGACTACATTTAGATTTAAGTGTTTCATTGAGACTAACAAGTCAGATGGACTATAATAATAATAAATAAATAAATGAACTCCTATTATTGATTATCTTTTCCATCATCAAAAGTTCAACCAAAGCAGTTCTGTTCGTTGAGTAATTTTTACCCAATGGTAAGTTTTTTTTTTGTGATAAAATTTACCCACTGGTTTATATTGGGTTATTTACCAAAAATTGAGTATTTTAGGGTTTACCTAAAAATATCTTCTTGCACGGAAGTTCGGAGTTGGGTGAAAAGAACTCAAATCTGGGTAGTTTTCTATTCCCGTGTATGGCATGGAGGCTATCATCACCTGCGCATTATGGTGACCGCTAGTAATCCTACATATATGTACACTGAAAAGAATTGTGCAGTAGAAACTACTTTTCACGGACAGAAAATTGTTTGCATTGAACCAAAAAAACTTTAGTTGTATTTAAACAAACAATTCCGGTTGAAATTATATTGCATTTTGTTGTTTCAATAATGCTTAGTGATATAAATTAAAAATAGGATTATTTTTGTTTTAATAAGCCACTTTTCAACTGCAACTATTGTAAAAAAAACAATATTCTATTATTAAGCCAACAAAAGTTAATTTTAATTTAGCATTTATTTGCTGTGTCCATTCCCCAGACCATGAATGCAAAAATAACTACCAACCGCTCCCTCGTTTTCACCCGGACAAAAATGTAAACAATAACAAAACTTTTCTAGTTTGATTTAGCTCTTTTCCCCGTTCCGAATTTCAGGAAATAAGTGCAAGATTTCCGAAAATCTTGAGACTTGAGGTAAGTAAGTAAGTTCGAGCTGCAGTTGCTAAATCAATTTTTCTGTTTTTTTCCTTGATTTTTTTGGTCGATCTTGTTTTCCGTACTGAGTACCAATGATCCCGACGCCAGGAAGACAGCTCCCACACCTGGACCCTACATATCGACCCATCAACTCATGAACAGGAGACCAACGGCTTTACTTCTCTTCCGAAGGAAGGCGTGATCAATGATTTTATGCCTCAGAAAGTCAATTGCAATTATGTTTGTCGCAAAAAGAAAACAAAACATAAAAAAATCGACATTATTTATGAATCAATAAACATTCCTCGCCGATAGCTTGAAGTAGCCGGACGTAGTTTGTTCGTGTCTCCGTTGCGGGTATTGGTTTCGTAGCCGGTGGAGTTTTTTTTCCCACCATAGTGGTTTTTTATATCGCGCGTTTTACCTACCGTGGACGAAGTTCAGTGCCCAAGGCAACCGCAGTCAGCAGAGGAAGTAGCCACCTTTAGCGACGCTATAGGTGGACTATCATCTCACCGTCATCGTCTCATCACCACTCCAAAGCAGCAAGAACCAGCAACAAAGCAGCAAACGAAGTGGCTGCACCAGCTCACACAGCCGGCACCGGCCGGTGTTAAGTATACTACACAATAGTCTTCTCTAGCCCATTGCCGCGCTTTTGTTTTAAAATTTTGCACGTGGCTTTGCCCTCTCCCCTGATAGGGTTATGAGGGCTATAGTGGTGCAACTTCTTGCAACTAGTGAAAAGTTTTTTTTTTTTTTTTTGATAATTTTGTTTTTGTTTCGCTTGGTTGTTTATACACTGGGCAACAAAATATTAACATCTAGTAGTTGGGTGGTTTAATTGGTGAAGGGTTTTTTTTTAGTTTTTTTTTTCCTTTCCTTTTTAAGCGGTTGTGCACCGCTTTTGCGCAACACTCATGGCGTCTTCGGATACCTACGTTGCGCGAACTAGATACTACCAACCGTCTTCGAAAGGACCATGGGTTGTCTTTTTTCGGCCTAAAAATAAACCTTTGAAAACTCTCGACATTTCGAGAGACTTGCTGCGGAAGTATCCGGGAATCTTGGTACATAAGGAGAGATTCAATAAACTTCGTGTAGAAGCACCGACTTATGATGTGGCAAATAAAATTGCTGAACATGAGCTGTTTAGTGTTGAGTACAACATCTACATCCCTTCTCGAGATGTGGAGATAGAAGGTGTGGTCTCCGACGCGAGTCTGAGTGTCGAGGATTTAAAACGAGCATCGGGTTGCTTCAAAAACTCGAAAATCGGTCAGCAGGTACAGATACTGGATGTTAGGCAACTGCATTCAGTATCTTTGCAAGATGGCAAGAAAGTTCATCAGCATTCAGACTCGTTTCGGGTGACTTTCGCTGGTCCAGTTCTCCCAAACTTTGTCAAAGTTGATGGTGCTTTTTTTTCCGGTGCGGTTGTTTGTACAGAGGGTATATAATTGTACCAACTGCAAAAGGCTGGGACACTCAGCCAGCCATTGCGGCAACAAAACTCGTTGTGGCAAATGTGGTGAAAACCACAAAGAGGATTCTTGCCACAAAGAATAAGTAAAATGCGCTTATTGTGGCGAGAATCCTCACCCCTTGCAGAAGTGCCCGATGTACAAGCAGCACTCCGATAAAGTGCAGCGTTCAATCTCTGGACGCTCCAAGCAGTCATATGCACAAATGGTGAAGGCTGCATCAGCCGTCCAAGATGAAAATCAATTTTCGATTTTGTCAGCTGAAGAATCGGACTCTGACTCATCCGATGAGGGTGACTCTACGGTGGTACACGCACCTTTGAAAACGAACGGATCCTCAAAACGAAAATGCTCCTCCCCGAAAGTGCGCCGTAAGAAAACTAAAGTCACTCCCAGAGGATTGCAAAATTCCCAGGGTAATGGGGATGAAAAAATTAAATCGAAGGCTCCTACTGCTCCACTTCCTGGCTGCAGTAAGGATTTTCCGCCATTACCCAACAAAGAAAAGAAAAACAAAAAAGCTGCTCCTCAAACTTCTCAAAAGAAATCCAAGTCCGAACGCGGTTTGCTAGCTTTTTCGGACATTGTGGAATTCATATTAAATATGTTCAACATACAAGACCCTCTTAGAAGCTTAGTTTCTGCCTTGCTTCCAACATTAGAATCATATCTTAAGCAATTGACTGTTTCATGGCCCCTCCTTGCATCAATCATATCTTTCGATGGATAATTCGTCGAACGAGGTTGAAGATATGATCACTGTGCTACAGTGGAACTGCCGTAGTCTAGTGCCTAAACTAGACTCGTTCAAATTTTTACTTCACAATTCTGATTGTGATATAATTGCTCTCTGTGAAACATGGCTTTCTTCCGATTAAGAACTCAACTTCCACGATTTTAACATTATTCGCCTGGATAGAGACGATTCTTATGGAGGAGTACTTTTAGGGATCAAAAAGTGCTACCCTTTCTACAAAATTTCCCTTCCTGCTCTATCAGGCGTCGAAATCGTCGCTTGCCAAATAAATGTGAAGAACAAAGATCTTTGCATAGCTTCAGTATACGTTCCACCAAGAACCTCCATTAGCCGTAGTCAACTCTGGAATCTAGTTTCGATTCTTCCATCCCCAGTATTAATTCTGGGTGATATGAACTCCCATGGTACTGGGTGCCCGAAAAAAAAATACAGTGAAATTTTCAGTGGAAACAATGCTCTAACATTAATATTTATTGTCGACAATAAAAATGATTGTTATAATGTTGTACTCTTCCGAAAACGGCAAAACTGCTACCTAGCTGTACAATGAATGTACATAATAAAATGTTGTTACAATGTTTTTTATCGTATTTTTCATTTATTTTATTGTTAACATGATTCGATCATGAACAATAATGAACAACTCTATTACAATAAAAATTGTTGTTACATTAAATATTGGTGTATTTTCATTGTGGGTTACTTCACGAACAATAAAAATAAATCTGATTGAAGCATGCAGACTATGAGAGGGTCAGCAACACTGCCTATGTAATTAAGATAGGCGCTGCTCGTATGGCTCTGGCTTTGACAGTTCGTTTGGCTCAAAACCAGGCAGTCCGCGTCCGCTCATATCTTATCCTAGAACCTCTCTAAAGCTTAATGGAGACCTTTTCCGTGCAGTCAATAATCATACAATAATAATAAAAACTTCCACCACTTGAAGATGTCAGGAAAGAACTCTCAGGTGGAAGCATATTTCATGGGCGATTCTCTCCAGTCGAATGCATTAACTTTTCAACGACGCTCAACCACCAAGGAGACGTGACCTAGGGATATCGAGCGCAGGGGAGTTGGCCTGCATTTCTCACAAGTTCCGGATCGAATCTCGATCCATAACCAATAAAAAAAGGACCACCCGTAACAGACATACCACCCCCTTCCCTTCCCGGGGCAATGTTTTATTTTTTCGATTTATTTTTAAAGTCGATAAAGTAGATCTGTCAAGCCAACACATACACTCTAAAGTACACTGTTATTTTTTTTAATCAATAAATTCGCCAACCAACAGTAAAATAACAATAATATATAATGTTATTGAAAAAAAATATATCAAGAGCAAATTTTCATTACGTCGAATGTAACAAAGGTAAACAAAGTCGAGCTATCAGTGTCAATCGATTCTCCTGCTATTACACTATATACTGTCCGAATA